ATCTGAAATAAATAAAATCTTAAGGAAAAAGAAAAGAAAAGTCAACTATTTCAAGCTGAAAGCAAAAGTTAAGGACAATGATGATGAATTTAGCTCTTAGGAAATTCCTGGGGATGTGAAGAGTGCCATTTCAGTGCTGTGATAAGCATAGATCATTTTGAAGTGGAGATTACAGAAGAAATAGAGGTAGCAGTGATAAACTGGCCATTTGGGAATTAACAGTAAAGAATCTAGAAAAACAAATGGCTCCTGGATAGGTCAGTAGGGTCAAATGAAAGGGATTATTTTCCAGGCTAATGTTTTTCTTACTCCACCTTTCTACTAGTTATCTTCTGCCCCTATTCCAAAATTAACCTGTGCAAGTAGTAAAATACACTTCATAATTACTGACATAGTTACAGAGAGGGGCCTATCTAAAACTTACATATCAACTAGTTATTATTCTATTATGCATTCATGTACATTAAGGAAGACTCTACTTTTGATATTAAATAGGTGATAGAAAAGAAGTAATATGAATCAATAAAATTAGAATATCCAACTTTTATAGTTTTAGCACAAAATGTTTATGCAGGTGTGGTATTATGTCTAATAAATTTAAGAATCTTTCCTGAGTAAATATGTATAAAAGCTATTTTAATATTTTCACTTGAGAATAATAAACTTTTTGTTTGATTAATCAGAGTCTGGCAGATTGGATATGAGAACATTTGCAAAATTATTTATCTCTTCTCTATATTGGGGAGGATCTAGAAATGTTTAATATGTGAAAGAGAGAGCTCTCTCTGTATTAACAGACATCTTTCCAACTTGCATTAAATCCTTTGGTGTAAAGGACCCGAGATCTGAAAGAGAATAAATGATATATTGAGGGCGCCTGGGTGGCTCAGTTGGTTAAGCGACTGCCTTCGGCTCAGGTCATGATCCCAGCGTCCTGGGATCGAGTCCCACATCGGGCTCCCGGCTCAGCGGGGAGCCTGCTTCTCCCTCTGACCCTCTCCTCTCTCATGCTGTTTCTCTCTCGCTCGCTCTCTAATAAATAAATAAAAAAAAAAATCTAAAAAAAAAAAAAATAAATGATATATTGAAAATGGGAACAGGAAGGGCTGGATAAAAGTGGTTTACACAGAATCTTACAGAATCTGAATTAATTTTAATAATTTCTTCCTAAATTAAATTTTTAAGAAAATGAAATCATTTTTGTTAATTCAGTGCCTCCTAGGAAAGGTTTTAATTTTGAACACATTTTTAGAGTATCATTTTAATTTTAGTTATCCACTACAATCCCACTATAATTCAACCATTATAAATACATACTATCAACAGTTGTTGACATGGGGAAAATATTGTGTTTTCCTTTTTTTTTTTCACTATTAAGCAACATTGTGGTCATATAAGGAAACAAAACTAACCATATTCCTGCCTCCTTTAAACAACTGTTTGAATTATTCTGTGTTCCCTTCTAGTTTGAGCTGTAAACATTCATAGACTTTGTAATGACTTTATAATTTTTTATTTTATAGATATACTATGATTTGTTTCCCATTTCTCCTATAAACCAGACATCTAAGTGATTCCAAATTTTTTTATTCAAAGTAACACCATATTGAATGTCATTGTTCCTATAGATTTTTATTTCTTTTTTTTTTTTTTTAAGATTTATTTATTTAGAGAGTTTGTGCACGTATGTGTGTGTGTGCAAGGGGGGGAGAGGGAGAGAGAGACTCTCCAGCAGACTCCCTGCTGAGGGAGGAGCCTGACATGGGCCTCAGTCCAGTAACCCTGGGATTATGACCTGAGCCAAAATCAAGAGTTGGACACTTAACCAACTGAGCCACCCAGGCACCCCAAAATTTTTATTTCTTTTAAGTTACTTCCTTTAGGATAAATTCTCAAAAGTAGGTTTACCTGGTCAAAGGATATGAACCATGTATTAGTTGTTAATGAGCTATTTATTATGTAACTTGCCCAAGATCACATAAAGAGTGACAGAATTAGGATTAGAGCCTGGCAGTCTATACTAGATGCCATGTTCTTGATCAGTCTACTGCACTGCTGTCTTGAGAGATCCCCAATGCTATGTCATCAATCTAGACCATAAGAGTAAAATGTATTCAGTTCATCTTGTCCACGTTATAGCGAGAAATTGGTGTGTCTGACAGTATGTTGAGGATTTCAGAAAGAACAGGATGTAGACCCTGCCTTAGAAACCTATGAACTAAGTGGTAGAAGGAAACAGATATGTAAGAAAGTAACTGTGATACAGTGTAATGAGTTATATAATTATGATGCTCTATGAAGACAAAGAAGGGAGTGGCCAAACTGGAGGGGGAAGCATAGTGTAAAGAGACTTCTAAATAGGATTGGGTTTGTTTAGATAGTCTCAGTCAAAACAAAACAGCAGAGCAAGCAATGAAGAGCCTACACATGTACGTGGGGATCAGAAGGCCATAAAGGCTATGTTGGATTGTAGAGAAAATATGTACAATTAGGACTTTCTGAGGAAATTTTACTGGAACTTGAGACCTGGGCTAAAAGAGAAGCTTTGGAAGTTAAACAGTGACTGAATAGAGATTGAGAACTCCAGAGAGATTTACCTCCCAAGAGATAGATAAGTTTACATCTGAAGGGTTATGAGGAGTGGGTAAGACCTGAGACCATGGAGACATTCCCTAAATCATAAAACTCAGAGACACTAGTCTTTTCATCTCCCTAGAGATACTTTACATTTCAAAGGTAAGAACCCAAGATCTTCCCTAGGATCTTTTGTTTACACTCCAGAGGGGAGGAGTCTGCTACATAATCCTTCCAGAATCTTATTTTCAGGGCTCCTTGCTATGTTAATTTGCTATTGCTGCTGTGACAAATTATCACAAACTTAAAGACTTAATACAAATTTTATTATATTAAAGCTCTAGAGATTAGAAGTCTGACGTGTTCCTACTGGACTAAACTCAAGGTGTTAGCAGGGCTACGTTCCTTCTGGAGGTTCTAGGGTAGAATCCCTTCCCTTTCCTTTTCCAGCTTCCTAAAGCTGCCTGCACTTCTTGGCTTGTGGGTCCTTCCTGCATTTTTTAAAAGAAACAGCTTAGCTTCCTTCCATCTTCCAATCTCTCTTTGACTTTTGACCCTCCTATCTTCCTCTTAGAAGGAAGGACTTGTGATTACATTAGGCCCACTTGGTTAATCCAGGCTAATTTCACATGTCAAGAACCTTAACTTAATCACACCTGCAAAGTCCTTTCACTGTATAAGGTAACATGTTCATGGGTTCCAGGGATTAAGACCTGGATCTTTTTGGGGTGGAGGCATTATTCTGCCTGCCATACTCACCTGTAGTGCAGACACCAGTACATAGAATGATGTCTGGTCTGGCTTTAATTGCAATTTCTGGTGGGAAGAGTTGAGGTATGAGGAACTGACCTAGTTATTATAAGTACTAATAATTTATTTGTTTCTGCTTCAGAGACCTCATGTCTACTTTCAGGACAGTTCAAATCAATGTAGTGCTAAAAACCTAATAGCCTGGTTTTGAAGGACCCTACAGCTGAGCTCTCTAGACTCCTGAATGATAAGAACAGGAAAAATCCAGAGTTGTATGGGACTTTCTGCCTTAGGACCTCTTCCTCAACCTTTTCCTCATAAAAGTTTTCCAGCTTGGCTAACTCATTCAAATTGAAGAGTCTATCCTAGCTCCTTTATGGTGAGTTTTTTCTGTCAGACCCATATGTCTAAGCTAAAACTAACCTAAACTCAATCCAGATGTAACTAGGGGTTAGAGTTTGGCTCTGCTGCCTTCCCATTGCTGTTCTGTACTTGGGCATAGAAATGCAAATGATACCAGCCCTCCACAGTAAATGTAGGCACTCATCTTCAGACATTGGGCTTATATTCCTGTTCCTCAACATGTATTTGTATGTTTTCTAGTATAGGCTGACTGTATTATAGCAGGGTTTTGTTGTTGTTGTTGTTGTTTTTCAACTCATTTTCCAGTATCTTATTATAGCCACTGAGATGGCTCAACTATTAATCCTGTGATCCTAGTTCAAGGATGTATTAGGGAGTTGGGCCTAACTGTCAGATCTAGGTTTGGCATTAGTTAAGGGAGCTCACCTAGACTTATCATTGGTAAAGCCTACCTCTTTGGAATTAGATCTTGGTCTTCTAGAACTGACCACAACTTACTCCCCTCAAAAAGTATTACACTGTGGGGGCGCCTGGGTGGCTCAGTCAGTTAAGCAGCTGCCTTCGGCTCAGGTCATGGTCCCAGGGTCCTGGGATCGAGCCCCACATCGGGCTCCCGGCTCCGCGGGAAGTCTGCTTCTCCCTCTGCCACTCCCCCTGCTTGTGTTCCCTCTCTCGCTGTGTCTCTCTCTGTCAAATAAATAAAATGTTTAAAAAAAAAAAAAAGTATTACGCTGTGTAAATAGTGCTGGCCAATGACTTTCAGGTAGAAAAATTTTTTTCTAGATTTAAAAATTAGTCCTAGACTTATGCACTACTTCCTGTGCTTATATTAATTGTCACCCTCTTTATTAAGTAAAGATGTAACTAAGAGAAATAGGGCAGAACAATAAAGAAAAGATAAAAGCTGGTGTGGAATGTTTAATAATGTACCCTCAGGCATTCATGTGATTGACATATGAGTCTCATGTGGCCCTTCCTGTTCCTTTCCTCCCTCTGCCCCTTCCTTTTTTCTTGTCTTCCTTTTTTCTTCACTTCTCCTTTATTTTTCTTCCCTTTTCTTTTCTCTTCTGTCCGTCTTCTTTTATTAGCAAATACCGTAAAGATATTCAGCTTTCTTTTTCTTAGTATTTTGTTCTAGAATGGAGTTTTTTATAACTGTACGAATTAATCATTCGCCTTATTTTGAAACAGGACTTCAATAGACATTTTATTAACAGCTTAGAAGTAGAGTTTATTTTTTAAATTTATCTTCTGTGTGTTCTTATTTCAAGACAAGGAGACACTGATTTTCATTTTTTCCTTTACCATTTTAGGACTTTTCTTTTTGGTAGAGATGGAAATCCAAATAAACGGAATGTGCACAATGAAACATCTATGCATTTGTTATGTATGGGACCTCAAATTATGATATCTGAAGGAGCCCTTCATCCTCGCTTAGCACGGCCCGCAGAAGATGATTTCAGAAGAGCAGATTGTCTGCAGATGATCTTAAGATGGAAAGGAGCAAAACTTGACCAAGGAGAATATGAGAGAGCAGCTATTGATGCCGTTGATAACAAAAAAAACACACCCCTGCATTATGCTGCTGCCTCAGGCATGAAAACCTGTGTCGAGGTAAAACTTTGTTTTCTCGTGTTTTTCATTCTGTAAAATTTGTGTCTTGGTAATATGTAATAATCAGAGTTTTCTTTGCTTATCTTAACAGTTACTTTAGTCCTTTTTGTCCTCTTTGTGGTTCTAAAAGAATCTGGATCCCTTTTAAATAAAGTCATTTTTGGGCAAAGATTAAAAAGAAACCCATAGTTAAACAGTCCACCTTGGGGATAAAATGGGATCAAGAGCAATTAAAAATTGGCTAACATTCCTGAAGATAACAGTCCTCAATTAAACACTTGTCACTTAGAGTAAGGGTTTTAGTAGAGATATGTTCTACTTTTTGGCTGATTTTTAGAAGCCAATTTATACATACTGGATATGGCAAATCTTAGCAAGTGGGACTTAAAGCCATGTTACCTGGAATTGATCAGTTCCCTGAGCAAGGGATAAGTATTAATGAATATATTTATTTTGGTCTTTTAGAAAACCTTTGTAATTTAAAATGTGCTGGTTTTTCTGTTTAACCTGCATTAATGTTAAGGTTAATGCATTTGAATTTTTCCATTTATATATTTCGTATATAACAATAGGCTTAGATAAAATCAGCCATATAATACAGGATCTTAACTAAACTAAGAAATCCTTACTCTTCATGTTATCATCAGTACATACAACAGAATGGATTTTTCTCAACTACATTCATATCAATCTATACTTACTTATAGAAGTTCTTTCGTATAGATCTATGAAAGCATGAGTGGGGAGCATTATAGAGTGGATCACAGAGTATCTATGTTACCAGAACTGTAGACTTTGATGGAAGAGCAGTGATCCTAATCAGATTAAAATATGTATCTGAAAATTTAATATTTCTTTAATGTTACTCATATATATTTTATACTTCTAAATTGATAAATATACTAAACATATGAATGTCTTTCATTTTCTTACTCATTTTAAAAGATTACAGCCACTTACAGGATTTCTTTAGTGTATCTGAAGTGACAGTTCTTTTTATTTTAAAAATCCTTCTGATCTTATTTTTAGTTTATTGCTATTATTTGTGACACTGGTTAATCTTTTAGAATCGTAGTCATATTAACTCTTAGGGTTGTGTCACCTTTGCCCACTAGTAAGTTAGTGACAGTCATGAACTTGAAACTCTTTATTTAAGCAGTGCTTTCTAACATTGATTTACAGTGTGATAGAAGGATGTCCTAGGATTGGGGGATACGGGGTGCCTATTGGTAGAAATCCTAAGGCTTTTTACACAAATCTTTTTGTATATTCTATGCTCACCTCCTATGAAAGAATTTCTGCTGAAGTGACTCATCATTATTGATGGGGTTGCATCATATTTCTCAAGTGAGTTAGAGTAGAAATTAGCTTATTCTTGATAGTAGTAATAATTTTATTTTGCTGCTTTAATATTTTGCTTCCAAAAATTCTCTGTAAGCATTGTTTTAGTACTTGTTGATTTTGAAATATGTTTACAATGACATGCTTATTAAATTGTTCCCAAAAATTGAGTGCAGTGTTTTTACCGGTATTATTTTTTGCTCAGTGAAGGAAATTAGTGCTAGGTTTATTCTGAACTGACAGGCCTGATGATTTGCTTTGTGTGAATGAATGTGTGTGTATGTTTTAACTGTTTGGACTGTCAGCATATCACATTCAGAAACCACACCATTTGGTAACTTTTCATTTTTCTGTATTCAGAGGAGCTCTTTGACTTAATGAAACATGCCAAATAGAGCCCTGTAAATACCTTAGTTGCATTTATTCTAGTTTTCCTCAACAAATTCCAGCATATCCTTTTACCTATATAAAGTATAAAGTTCTCTTTAATCTCTTACGTATACTTGACTATACACTTACCCAGCCTTAGGCCTTGATTGACTTTTGATAATGTTTACTATTCATTAAACTAGAAGAGTTTCCCTTGGAAATGTACGTTAATTAATTTCCTGAGGTCTTAGTGTGTTTCCTAATACTAGTGCATAAAATAAATGCATTGAAATTTAGAACCTAGTAACTGTACATCTTAGAGTATTAGTTTATAGGTATCTTCATGTGGTATCATACTCCTTGAGTTAAAAGAGTGTTATCAGGTATTTATTAATTTTTTCATAAAGCTAAGAGGTCATAGTATAGTAAAAAGGGTACTGGTTTCTAGTCTTGGTCTTCACAGTGACTACTACTAAACCTTTTTGAGATTATCAATTTCAGCCATCCAAGAGAAAACTATCTCCAAAAGACCTCTTTTAATATTAATTTTCTGTTGATCTTTGATTGCTATAAAATATATCCCATTTTCAGTGTATAGGCTTTAAGGCTAAATTGATTACTTTATTCCATAGTTAAGGCCAACCTGTTTTGTTTTGTTTTTTGTTTTTAACTCTTATATCTATGGAAATATGCCTTCTCTAGTTGTTCAAAATGTTTTTCTCTCTGTGTTTATTTAAAGACAGACTTGGTAAACTCATCGGGTGACAATTTCATATGTACATTTAATAATTTAAACAGTTCCTTATGGCTCGTTATTTTGAACCATAGAAGTGAAATATTAACTTTAAAACTTCCCCTTCTCCTTGTAGTAATTGTGTTCCATAGTAAGCTAACGGTACATATCACACACAGACACACACATACACAATATATATGTATATAACATAGCAAAAACCTCTTAATTATGAAGTTCTTCTGGAAACTTCCAGGTGTGAAGGTATCAATAGTTTCATATAGGTTATTGCAATGGAATGTCTAGCCCTGAAGTTCCTTGTGTTATATTGCTGCCTAGTTGACTTCCTTGTATTGATATTCCAAGAGTCTGTCAAATTCAACATACCAGAAACTACTCGGTCTTTCTATCCTCTAGCCCCTCCTTGTGACTGCCTCTTTTCTATTACTGATGCCATCATTATACCTATATCTAATCTTGATACCTCGATTTACCCTGGCCTGGTTTTTGTCTTTGTTTTTGTCTTTTTGCATCAAACTCATGCCACTCATTTGCATAATAGAGCTCTTCCTTTTCTCTTTTGGCCAGCCCTCCTATTTATCTCTGTTGACTACTCTCTAACACCAAGTGCTGACGTTGAATCCTCACTTTGGTGTATAAGCGTCTGCCTTGGGCTCAGGTCATGGTCCCAGAGTCCTGGGATCAAGCCCCACATCGGGCTCCCTGCTCAGTGGGAAACCTGCTTCTCCCTCTCCCACTCCACCTACTTGTGTTCCCTCTCTCACTGTGTCTTCCTCTGTCAAATAAATAAATAAAATCTAAAAAAAAAAAGAACTTCCTTAAGTAGGAAAATCTGGCGTTTCACAAATATTAATGATTCAGAATTATTTAAGAGATAAAAGTAACACAGAGAGGAATGGGCTGCAATTGTTTGAAAGTTAAAAATGCTTATATGTTAAACATTTATTAAAGACAAACTAAATTAAGCCCATCTAATTCTAATTTTTTCGTATTTTAAAGAATCATTCCAAAGGTCTGCAAACTTTTTTCTGTGAAAGTCAAATGGTAAATATTTTAGACAGCTGCTCAACTTTGCCATTGTAGCCTGAAAGCAGCCATAGACAGTACGTAAACAAATGAGTATAGCAGTGTTCTCATAAAACTGTTTATGGATACTCCCACTTGACTTTCTTCTGATCTCCACATATCATGAAATATTCTTTTGATTTTTCTTTCAACCATTTAAAATGTAAAAGCAGTTCTAGTTCACCGACTATATAGGAACAGGCATCAGGCTATATTTGGCCCACAGTTTGCACTGGACCCCTGTATTATGCAAAGAATTGGAAGAGGAAAGCAAAGATGACTCCACACTTCAGAAGCGTATTTTAAACATATAAAATAACATTTATGCATTAAGTCCTATATGCTTTAATTATACAAAAATTTTTAAAATGCCGTGTAATAGATGCCCAATGCATAAAAATGGAACTCTGTTAAAACAAATCTTAGAAGAATTTAGTATAGTAAATAATACACTTTTTTCTTAGTTGCTGAGTTTTTGTTTTTCTATTTCTTTGGAATACAGATGGACTTTGGAGAAGAATGATGGGTTAGGTCTATTAGCATGGCCCAATTAAAATCCCAGTGATTTTTCTCCCCTTGGCCAACTTCCCTAAGAGCCAGCCTAGTCATTAAGACTCATTTTATTTATATTAGTCTTTTTCTGTCATAGTGATTCAATAAATGGTTGATGTGCAGAGGTTATTGCTTTTGATAGTGTTTCATTCTTTGTGAAAAGCATTTTTTAAAATGAGCATTATCTTAGATATTTCCTGTGCACCCCAGTCCTAGTTGCTTATTCAAAGCTTTAAGTGTAGCTTCTTATTGTCAGATCAAATAGAAGTCACTAGAAAACTAAAAGTGGTAAGTCACTTTTCCCATTACAGCCATAAGGCCTATTTGACACTTTGGCAGCTATCAGAGCATTTCACACTTCAATGAAAAGCCATAAAAACCATTCACAGGTCAGACTGAAGAGTTTGTGTGTTCTTAGCACCTGGAGTTTTAAAAGTGAAAAGAATACAGAAGTTGTAGTCCCAGCTCAACAACTTAGTAACTTTGCCTATCTGAGCCTCAGTTTTCTAATATTTATTCAAGAAAGTTATGACTTCATTATTGCCTCCAAAATATTAACGATGCTAAGGGCTATATTAATTATTTGGGCAGTAAATATTATAGGCATTGAAGGGAAAGGAAGACCATTTTAATTTTACTTATCCTGGAAGATTTAATGGGTACTAGTATGATTTGAGTGGGTAAGATTTCAGTATTTGGAGGAGAATACTTAAAACATGCCCCTCAGACCTGCAACATCAGTTACTCCTGGGAGTTTGTTATAAATATGAAATCTTGGACCCACCAGGCCTCCAGATTCCAAATCAGAATCTGTGGGGGTAGACTCCAAGATGTTTTAAGCAAGTCCTTCTGGTTATTTGTTTACGTGTCAGAATTTGAGAAGCACTGTCCTAGGTCTCAGACATATGCAGGTTAAAGT